AATATATGTACGTACATATCTAACACAAAATGAGAAAAATGTAAAATAAAAATAAAAATTAGGAGCAAAGGGTAAAACAGGATGCGGTAGATTTTTTAATTTTTTTAAAATAAAATAAAATCAATTTTATTTTTGGGGGGTGGGGGGTGGAGTATGAGTTTTTTATAAAAGATTTTTTTTTGAAAAAGGATGGGTGCGGTAGAATTTTCAATTTTTTAAAAATAAAATAATATCAATTTTTTTTGGGGGGGAGATGAGTAGGCGTTTTTTTTTTGGAGGGGAAGGGTGAAGTATGAGTTTTTTAAAAATATGTACGTGGAGGAGGTGGTGGAGTTGGGAAAAAAAAATAATTTTTTTTTTTATGAATAGTGGAGTAATACTTTAATATTTAATTTTTAATTAATATTAATAGTTTATTATTTAATTTTTGTCAAGGTGATATATTTTATCCATGTGAAATGCTATGTGTCAAGGTTTTTTCAAATAAAAGAGAGAGTGCATTACACTCACCACTAAGGTGTGTTTCTCAAACTAAAAAGTGATAGTTTAAATATGAAACTCACACTCTTAATAGTGTTTAGGTATGAAACTAAAAAATAGTATTTGTCATGAAAATATTTTTCCTCGCACCAAACACACCCTAACGATTCATTAGATTGTTTATTGCATATGTTCTTGTACGCTTTTTCCAATTGTAGTATGAAAGAATCCTTTTTTGACCACTTATGATGAGTGGAATCAGAGTCTTTTTAAGACAACCATTTGCATTGATTAACTAATCATAAGGGGAAAAAGATTCCAATATTATACTCACTTTCTTTCTAATTTCTATCTTATATTGCTTGACTCGTATTAATCTGATTTAGTACTTTTTTTTATAAAAAAAAGTATATTATATTAAATTACTAATAATATTTTAAAATTTTAAATTCGGTTACTACCTTATATAATTATTAATAATATCAAGTAAAATAAAACGGACAGAAAGAATTAAAAAAATATGCCAGCACATCAATTGGTGCAGTCCCAATTGACAGGAAATATTATTAAAGTAACGCAACATGTCAATTGTAGAATTAAAACAAAGTAGATAATTGAGGAATCAGAATATAATATAAAGTTAAGAGGTTTTCAACCGATAAATAGTATATCAAGTGGGATGTGGAGAATTCTACATAAAACTAAGTTAGCTACGTGTCATTCAAATAAGGCATCAAAATGTTTTATTACTGTTGGCTACCTTTGATTCTCCTTTTCTCTTATTCTCTTCTTTTAACTTCAAAAAGAAAAAAGGTTCTGCTAAATAGAGTGCATGTTTGTTTTTTCTTGAGTGAAATGTGGCAAAAGGTATAGTGTTAGAAAAAACAAAAGGATATTTTCAAAAGTAATATAAAAGAGTTTTTTTTTCTAATTTTATTTCATATGAATCGTCCATTAGTGAGCTTTGTAAAAGATCAAATAAAAATAATCGACTCGTGTATATGATAAATGGACTAGAATACAACAGAGATGAATTGCTCTGTATAATATACATGAGTTTACCAAAATATATTTAGATACCGTTATTTGAGAATTATAATCAGTAAAAAATTTAAATTTATGTTTACTATGATACGTTCGAAGTTAGAAATTAGGAGACATTATATTCTTTGTCTATGTAGTCGATTGGTACATGGACTAAAAGGGGAAAATATAGTATAAAACAGTTTTATATTTTCTAAATCTGTATATGATATTTTAATTAGACAATTCTGGCAAAGTTTATATACGTCCAAGATCTTAAAGGAACAGAAAATGATTTCAATTCAAGCATACAAAGTAGTAGTATCTTTTTTTATACTAAAACATTTTATCTCATGTTCCATTAGTGTTAGCAAAGTATAAGGAACACTACAAAAAATAATAATAAAATTAGCTATGAAATTTATCTATAGTCCTCAGCTGAATTGCTTCTAGCTAATTAGACTTTCTAATAATTCATCACTAATCTATTACTAAATGAAATTAGCATCAATTTTTTGCTGCCGATTTAGCTATGAATTTTTTCCAATCGTTAATTTTTTGTTTTTTTTATACTTCTCTAATAATAGCAATTGTAGTAAAAAAGAATATGTAGAAGATGCCTTGTCACTACTATTTTTAGCAAAGAATCCTTTAGTAAGGTAAGACAAAGTACTACTTTTGTTTACCTTTGATAAGATATTTTTTTTTGTATAAATTTTTCGAGTGTATTTTTTTATTCGACAGAAGCATCTCAAAAGTTGTTTTCCCATTTGTCCAGGATATTATTATCAACATACTAGAAAGTATTATTCCTCATTCTTCTCAAGCCAATAAAAAAAATCCACTTGTAGTTTATGTCCGCACCTTATTAATAATACATACAAAATACTAGTGCATTGATACGTGACATGAACATTTTTAACTCATCGAATGATTCTTGATAGAAAAATATAAAAATAAAAAATAAGAATATATACACTAAATCAAAAATAATCTTTAGCGATAATTAATTAACGATAATAGCTCAATTGTCGCTAAATATGCATTTTTAGTGACAATTAGCACTCTTTGTATATGTCTCTAAAGTCTTTAGCGACACTGGATCTAATAGTACTTAACTAATACCGATAAAGACTTTAACACTCTTTATTAATGTGTCTATTTATTGTCGCTAAAAGTTATTTTTATTATAATAATAGAAGGTTAGTAAATAGTCGATCAATTTTTATATTTTTGTGGAATTAAGAGCATGGTTCTAGCTTAATTAAAGAAGGGAAAAAGGTCTGAAAAATACTCCAACTTTGACCGAAATTGTTGTTACGATACCAAACTTTGGAAATGACATTTTACCCCTGCACTATTTAATAGTGTATTTTAAAGATATATATGTGTCCATGTGGCTATTTATAATTATGCAATATTTATGATGTCCACGTGAGCACATATATACCTTTAAAATATATTATTAAATAGTGCGGGGTAAAAGGTCCTTTCCAAAGTTCGATATCGTAACAACAATTTCGGCTAAAGTTCGAATATATTTCAGATTTTTTTCCCATTAAAGAACCTTGTCTACTTTCCTCTTCTACTTATGATCGGTATCAGTATTATTATTCTATTATTAACTATTGTACTCTTCAACTTGCATTGTAGTTGTTTTTTCTTAGATTGTCTTTACTATTTAATTGTCATTTCTTTTCGAAGTGTTCTCATCCTAATTTTTAGGGATAAGGGTTTGAAAAATACCCCAACTTTGGTCGGATTTGCTATTGCGATACTAAATTTTCATAAGGACCTATTACCTCCCTAGACTATTTAATACCATATTTTTTACCCCCCTGAATTATTTAATAGTGTATTTTAAAGGTATATATGTGCCCACGTGGACACATTAATATTTATAATTTTACATTATTTTTTATGTCCACGTGGGCAAATATATATGTTTAAAATACGGTATTAAATAGTCTAGGGAGGTAATAGGTCCTCATGAAAGTTTAGTATCACAACAGCAAATCCGACCAAAGTTGGAGTATTTTTCAGACCCTTATCCCTAATTTTTACTTTTGTATTTGTCTAACTTGTTTTTGAAAACTTAATTTGAGCCGAAGGTAAGTTTACATATATCGTAGTTTTTCTAAATCTTACTTATACACTGAATATGTTATCGTTGTTATTATTTATTCATAGTGAATGTAGTGATTGTTGAGTTTCATTAACATACGTAAAACCTCCAGCGTAGCAAGGGAATCCAAAACTATATTTGGCCATGTGTACATTTGTGAAATTACCTTGTCTCTCCCCTGTTTTCCTGTCCATATATGTGAAAAATAACTACAGTTTCAGAATATATTAAAGGTTAAAACTATAATTTCAAAAGTGTAATGAATTCGGTAGTAAAAATCTAAATATATTCAGAATCTGCTTCTAAATGCAATATATTGCCAAATGCACTACTAAGATAGGCCTAATTAACTAATTGTGTTTAAATTGAGTAAATCAGATATGATTTTTTTTTTTCAAAAATAGCAATAATTTGAGGCTTAATTATCAAACATCTTGAGAGCTTGGAAAATTATCAAACGTAGAAATAGTTTTTGAAATTCGCTAAACATCAGTGATACAATAATTTGCTCTGTATCTATACAACAATAAATACAAAATAAATTGTTGTATCCTAGATACAGAGTGAATTATTGTATCACTGAAAAAGAGCGAATAAAAAAAATTATTATATCACTAATACATGAAAAATTCAAAAACTCTCACTATGTTTAATAATTTTTTTAGACTCTCGCTATATTTGATAAATATAGTGTATAAATTTGCATGATTAGGTAATTATCCATTAAAGATTGACACTAGAAGATGAGTTAAATTACTTTTCGAAAGCTAAAGGCGTAATAAATGAATGTGTCATTTAACTTGATCTCATTCGATATCTATGACCTCCAACTTTGATTTGCACAAATAGTCATTTGAAGTTTAAACTATCATGCATAAAGTTGAATAGACACACGTGATTTGTCATGTAGGATCCATGTGCCTATTTATTCAGTTTTATGATAGTTTAAGTGATTACTTGTGCACACTCAAAATTAGAGAACATAAATAACTGAGATCAAATTAAATGACACATTTATGTATTACGAGAACAATGGAAACTATAGCAATCACGGCTCTCTCTCTCTGTTGTCTCAATCTTCAGTTTATATATTGCCAAGAGACATGTTGTTATTATTGAAAAAGTTGTTCAAACAATTAAGCAAACATGTTTAACTTTTAATATCTGTATGTAGACATCTTTTTTTCTGGCACGTCGTTGATTGGTTTTCGAATCTTTTAAACTTATAAATCAAGCACCTTCCTTTTTATTTCACTAATATCTCAAAAAAAAAAAGACCTATATATAAAGCCTCCTCGTTTGCAACATTACCAAATCATTCACCACTTATATTTAATTTCTTCATCACTCAACATACAACATTTTCAAAATAAAAAATAAAAAATGTCTTCTAGAGGTACTTGTGAACCACTTGCTGTAGGGAGAGTAATAGGTGAAGTAGTAGACAGTTTTAGTCCAAGTGTGAAAATGAAAGTTATATATAATGGGAGCAAACAAGTTTCTAATGGCCATGAGATCATGCCTGCTGTTGTTGCAACTCAACCTCGTGTCGAAATTGGTGGTGAAGACATGAGATCTGCTTATACACTCGTAAGTTGTCTCATACATACATACGTGTGTTTGACTGACCACGAAGTTTGTGTTTATATAAAATGAAACTGAGGTTATGTTTGTACATTGTATTTTTTGTTTTGTATTCCGTTTCTGATTGTTGTCTTTTTTTCTTTGGGAAGATCATGACGGACCCTGATGCTCCAAGTCCTAGTGATCCATACTTGAGGGAACATCTCCATTGGTAATATTTCTTATTCTAAAATCTGATGATAATTCAAATTAATTGATGTAATATAGTACAATATTAGTACAAGTGTTTCTTATGTTGACTAAATTATGGGCTTATAATATCAGGATTGTGACAGACATTCCTGGTACAACTGACATCTCATTTGGTAAGTTTGATTCTCGAGTTGACTTTTCAGATGGTCACGCAACTGGTGAATCGTGTATAATTTAATTTTAAATTTGTGATTTACAGGAAGGGAGATAGTGTGCTACGAGACACCAAAGCCGGTAATTGGGATACATCGTTATGTGTTTTTGTTGTATAAACAAAGAGGAAGGCAAACAGTGAAAGCACCAACAACAAGGGATCAATTCAATACAAGGAGTTTTTCGGCGGAAAATGGATTGGGATCCCCTGTTGCTGCTGTTTATTTCAATGCCCAGAGAGAAACTGCAGCTAGAAGAAGATGAATTTCACACACACACACAAAATAAGCTAAATGCACTTTGCATAGTGAAACCACAGTACAGACAAAAGTATTACTATTAGTACAACGTCCCCCAGGGCCTCACTGATTGATTTAAGAGATTCAAGTGTCATTGTCAAGCATATTATATAAGCTCATATCCAATAGTATTATATTATATGTATGGTGTTTGTCGAACTCATTTGCTTATTTTCATAAATAAATAATATATGAAACATGTTACGTGGAATATGGAGAGGCGTTGAGTGTAAATGGACTTTATTACTATCTTGAGGAGGTAGAGACGTTGTTTCTAAAAGATCTTCAGCTTAGGTGCATCAAATTCAAGTAAAGATTTAGAAGGAAATAATGGAGGAAGCATAACTGTTAATATGAAAGTAATGTAAAGTATACAAGAAAGAAAGAAGTAATAACAACATCAAAATAGTGTTAAGGCAAGAACTACAGTGATACAACTAGTACTACGACGGACAGTAATAAGCCTAAACCTACGCACAACAAGACAACACTTCATCACTAGGCACTACTAATCTTCTATCCTAATATGCAACTTTCACTCTTTTCTATTTAGAGTACTCATGTCCTCGATAATATGAAGCTGCTTAAAAAGTTGAAATTAAAAAATTGCTGAAAACGTTTCGTACTCAAGGAAAAATTTCTGAAGTTTCAACTTTTATCAGTTCAAACTCCAAAATCTATTCAAAGAATTTTGAGTCAAATTTTATTAGTGAAACTTTAGCATTTTTACTGTCTATTTGCACTAAAGGACAAAATGAGACTACTAAGACTGTACCATGGTGCAGTGGTTAGACTGTTTAATCTTTAATCAGAGGTCTCACTATTAAAAAATTGCCAAAAATGACGAACAAAAGAGCGACGGACTGCGTCGCTCCAAAAAGCGACGCCATTTGCCACACTGTTCGTCGCTTTTTAATAAAAATAATTATTTTTAAAATTATTTTACGAAAAGCAACAGACGACATCTCTTAGTCCGTCGCTTTTTTCGCGGATTTTTGTGCTAAATATATATATAATTAATTAGTAATTATTTATTTAATATATATAGAGACACCGTTTGTCGCTTTTTAATAAAAATAATTATTTATAAATTAAACAATAACCATGATGTCTGTCGTTTTTAATTTATTTTATTTTATTAATTAGTTTTTTTTAAAATCAATGGACGACATCTCTTAGTCCGTCGCTTTTTGGTCAAAATATCTAGTCAAATATTTTTAAAAAGCGACGGACAACGTCTCTTAGTCTGTCGCTTTTTAGTCAAAATTTTGGTCAAATATTTTTAAAAAAGCGACGGACAAAGAGACATTGTCCGTCGCTTTTTTTAAATTATGTTGAACCAAAAAGCAGGTTTTCCCCCATTTTCTCATCTCTCTTTCTTTCTCTCTTCTCTCTAAAACCAAACGCTGCCGCTGCCCCACGCTGCCGTCGCCCTTCTCTCCTTGAGCATTAGTCCCGTCGCTGCCTTGCCCCGTCGGCGCTGCTACCCGTCGTCCTCACGGCCTCTTTTCCTTAGCTTGTTAAGGTTAGGGTTTAATTTTAATTTTTTTTCAATTCTAGTAATATTTGATTTGTTATAAATTAGTATATTGTTTTAGTTTGATGAATTGTGTTATTCAATTGTTAATTTGTATATTTGATTATTGTTAGTTAGGTAGAGAATTGGGGATTTTTAATTTTAGGGTTTTCTTCTAAATTGGGGTTTATTTTAATATGATTGTGAATTGAGTATTAGAAGATAGAACTAACAAATAATTAGAAGTTAGAAGTTAGATTAGTTGCATTTTCCAACTTTGAAATTCTTGAATTTAGTATGTTTGATGGTTGAAGTTAGAAAAACATTCAATTGTATATGAAAGTTAGCTTACTTTGAAGTTAGAAAAATATTGGATAGTATATGAAAGCTGAAATTAGATTAGTTGAATTTTCCAACTTAGAAGTACTTGAATTTAGTAAGTTTGAAAGTTGAAGTTAGAAAAATTGGAGATTTTTAAATATGATTGTAAATTAAGTATTAGAAGTTAGAACTAACAAATAATTAGAAGCTAGAAGTTAGAAATTAGTTGAATTTTTTAATTTGCCATTGTATTTGTGCTTATATGTATTATATTGTTGTTGAGAATTGGGTTACTTGAATTATATTCTTGAACTTAGAAATTCTTGAACTTGGAAATTCTTGAACTTAGAAATTCTAGAAATTAGATATGAACTTGAATTTTTGTAGGATTTTAGAACTTTAATTAAGTTGTGAACTTCAGAAATCTTGAATTATTATAGGATTTTAGAACTTTAGGTTATGAACTTTAGAAGTCTTGAATTATTGTGGGATTTTAGAACTTTAAATTGTGAACTTTAGAAGTCTTGAATTATTGTAGGATTTTAAACTTTAGGTTGTAAACTTTAGAAATCTTGAATTATTTTAGGATTTTAGAACTTTAGGTTGTAAACTTTAGAAATCTTGAATTATTTTAGGATTTTAGACCTTCAGGTTGTGAACTTTAGAAATCTTGAATTATTGTAGGATTTTAGAACTTAAAGGTGTGAACTTTAGAGAACTTGAATTTTTGTAGGATTTTAGAACTTCATAAGGTTGTTAACGTTAGGAATCTTGAATTATTGTAGGATTTTAGAACTTTAAGTTGTGAAACGTTAGAAATCTTGAATTATTCTAGAATTTTAGAACTTTAAGTTGTGAATTTTAGAGAACTTGAATTTTTGTAGAATTTTAAAACTTTAAATTGTGAACTTTAGAGAACTTGAATTATTGTGGGATTTTAGAACTTTAGGTTGTGAACTTTAAAAATCTTGAATTATTTTAGGATTTTAGAACTTTAGGTTGTAAACTTTAGAAATCTTGAATTATTTTAGGATTTTAGAACTTTAGGTTGTGAACTTTAGAAATCTTGAATTATTTTAGGATTTTAGAACTTAAAGTTGTGAACTTTAGAGAACTTGAATTTTTGTAGGATTTTAGAACTTTATAAGATTGTGAATGTTAGAAATCTTGAATTATTGTAGGATTTTAGAACTTTAAGTTGTGAACTTTAGAGAACTTGAATTTTTGTAGGATTTTAGAACTTTAGGTTGTGAAACGTTAGAAATCTTTAATTATTGTAGAATTTTAGAACTTTAAGTTATGAATTTTAGAAAACTTGAATTTTTGTAGGATTTTAGAACTTTAAGTTGTGAACTTTAGAAATCTTGAATTATTGTAGAATTTTAAACTTTAGAAATCTTGATTTATATAATTTATGAACTAATTATTAGGTTGAACTTTAAAAATCTTGATAAACTAGTCTTTATGAACTATTTGTAATTTTGAAACGTATTTTTTGTAATTTTGAAACGAATTTTGAAAGACTTTATAAGTCTTTAAATTGTGATTTAGATATTTTTGAATGTTAATTTAAGTTTGTTGTTTTATATTTTGTGTAGCTTCTTTATAATGTTTTGTGTTTGATTGGAATTGAATTGAATTGAATTGCTTTTGCAAGTGGGCAGCACAAACTGGTGTCAAAAAAATTGCTGAAAAAGTGACGGACAGGGTGGTTTTGTCCGTCGCTTTTCTGGATTTTACTTTTTTTAAAACCCAGAATAGCGACGGACAGGATCCTTTAGTCCGTCGCTTTTTTTTTTTTTTAAAACCCAGAAAAGCGACGGACGGCATCTCATTGTCCGTCGCTTTTCAAGATTCTTAAAAAATTAAAAATTAATTAAAGTGACGGACTTCGTCTCTTTTTTTTTTTTTAAATTAAAAATAAAAAAAGCGACGGACGGCGTCGCATTCTTCAAAAAAAAAATTAAAAAAGAAAACAAAAGCGACGCAGTCCATCCCTTTTGGAAAAGCGTCAAGCCAAAAAGCGACGAGATTGATTATGTCGATTTTCCGTCGCTTTTGGCCAAAAAAAGGACGCAGTCCGTCGCTTTTTTCCATTTCTTTTTGACAGTTTTTTAGTAGTGGATCTCATGCTGGAGCATTGGATCACTCCTGAATGGATCCTAAAATGCGTAATTCATTCGAATTAAGTCGAATTCTAATCATTGCGCGGGAAACAAACAAAAATGTAGTAAGACTGCAGTTTACACAATCGTGTCAGCTAGATTTTTGTCTTCCTTTGACACTGACACTATACTTGCTGGGAGAAGACTTATGATTAAGGTCTCAACAGTAATTAAGATAAGGCTTCTTCAAAGACACTGTATACAGAAAGGACAAAGATAGTATTAGGACACGTGTCGGACAAATAGGTAACTTGGTCCAATGGACATACTAATTTTGTCAACAAAAATAACGGAAGTAGAGTGAACAATTAGTTAAAGAGGGCAAGAATTGTGTATTGGCCAACTTTAATGTCACGCGATGACAACAATCAGACAAGATGTCACATGACTCACTCTCCATTTACTTCATTTCCAAATGTCAAACTCCTCGAATGCCAAGAACCTAACAACAATTGCTTTCATGTGGTATTCAATTAGCTAGGTTGTGTGGGTACATCAGAAAAGATAAGATTATATCTAAATGAAGTTAATCAGGACAAGATGAGAATGATTTTCATGGTGGACAAGATATGAGAAGTGAGACTGAAATAGTTCAAACATAAGAAATATGCAGATGCTCAGTGTAAGAAGTTGGCTATTGTGGGGTTGAGGAGAGATAGAGATAGACGTAACAAGTATTGGAAGATGCAGGACACGAGTAGCGGGTGCTGTAGAGAAATGATTGCAAAAGAGGAGAAATTGCCTTTTGGGTGATGCAATTTCAGTTTACAAAAGCATGACCCCTGATAGAAAGGTATGAAAGTCGATTAAGATAGAAGGTTAGTAGGTGAACAAACATATTTCTTTTTCGTATTAGTGTTATTATTGTAATTTCTTATTCTTCAATTTATATTACTATCCTTTCGATTATCAATTATCATATTATATGTTTGTTATCACTACTTCTTGTTACTACTTTTTTCATCTTTCCTTGTGCCAAGAATCTATGAAAAACATCCTCCCTAACGTCACAAAGGTAGGTGTAAAGTCTATGTACACACTATCCTACCCAAACCTTACTTGTGAAATTTCACAAGGTTTGTTGTTGTTGTTGCTTTGTGCAGCATCACACCTAATTTACAAGATAAGTCAATCTTACAACTTAAATTGACAAACCCAAACACAAGACTTCCTACTGCAGAACATTAAAAGGTGTACAAACAGAACAAATGTGCAACACAAATTTCCCTATTCAACTCTTATCTTTGTCAGTTTACAGATATCTAAGGTTTACCTTCACAAACCCCACTAGTACTCAAACTATCTTTTGTAACTTGATGGGGTTGTACTGGAACAAACAGGTTAAAAATTTATCTGCTTCAACCAGACTAGTAATAGCAGCACTACATACAACAGTGAAGAATAATCTAACAACAATCTCAAGATTAGACAGCTCTCCAGTGATGCTCCATTGCAATACTCCAATTTCCTACTAGTGAATTCTTTACAAGCCCCGAGTCCAAATAATCAACGTAGGTATTCAAGATACCGGAGTGCTGGATCCATTATATAAGCTGCAAGAAAGATTGCTACTCTGCTTGGATCAAAATTTCTTCTACTCGGGAACCAAGGCAAGCTTATTAAGCATTAATCTCAGCATTACACTGATGCTCCCTGCTGCAGCTTCTTCTGCCCCAAAACATGTTCGAGCAGGTAGTTTTCTCCAATCTCACATTCATTTTGTCATGATCCGTTGATGTGGACTGTGACTGATTAGGAGTTTCTTCTTGAGTATCATTTTCTCTTGATTCCAAGGTTGGCGAAGGTCCATCATCACAGGTACACAAAGGCATTGCAACAGAGGGAAATGGACTACAAGTCACAGGACAGAAAAGATCTGAAGACACTGAAGCAACACGATTCTTTCTAATTTCATGTGCGCTAGGCGGTGTTGATCGTTCTTGGTCACGAGGATGAAGCATGCATGGTGTGCATAAGCTAAGGGATAGATGTAATTTAATTTCCTTTGCAGGAGATCCAGGGAGTTTTACAAATGAAGCAATGCCATGTCTGCAAAGTGGACATGGAATGGATCCAGGCGGACCCAATAATTCAGATGGGATGTTGCTTGACGAGCAAAGATAGAGTGCACATCTTACACACAATTGATGCCCACAACCTGAAAGTATTTGATACAAAATAAAAGAATATATTAATATGACAATTCTCATCTAATTTTACAGAACCATACTGTCATTTTATTGTTATCATCTTCTCATGGTTAGACAATGTGTCCCAGAAACCTAACATTGCGAGAGAATCTGATGTCACCAAATAAAGATATTGGTACCTATTTTTTATTACTACTGCTGTCGCATTTTATGTGGCACTATCACTCTTTGGAAAGTCAAACAGTTTGGTCATTGACTAAGACTTATCAAACTTCTTTCAATATTTTGAATTATTAACCATAGTAGCATATATACTACTCCCTCCGTTCCGTTCCTATTTATATGTCACCATTTTTTATTTCACGTGCATTAAGAAATTAAGTAAGTTTACTATTCTACCCTTATTTAATTTTTTTTTTTGATATTTTGATTAATTACTTTGACCAATGAACATAAATTATTCACTTAGTTTTTTATGTTGGTCAAATGCATATTTTCAAGGCTAATAACTCACAAGGGTAAAATAGGAAGAATATTGTAATTTATGTATTGATTTTATGAAATGACAAGTACTCTATTATGGACCAACTATTTATAGTAAGGATGACATATAAAAAGGACCGGAGGGAGTAGTACTTTACACACAATCATCAAATATGTAAAATGTTATTTCAGAACACGTGAAAAATTTATGCTTTGACCCTCAAATCCCAAGCTCCTTTATATAAAATGGGACTGAAAGAGTATGTAAAACAGATTTCCAAGTGAACCAATCAAGTTGCTTTATAGCTAAGCACAAGATTGGATCGGCATCAGATATTCCATATTGGGTGAGTTGAAAAACATCAAGTATAACAAAAGACTAACTAAAAACAACTGCAGTATCTAGACATTTATTTCATAACTACAACATCTAGAAGTCTTTTAAAAAAAGATTATAAAGGCGGTGTCTAGACCAACTTGTACACACCTCAATTATTCCAATGAGTATCTTCATCCTTCCACCAACACGTGTATTGGATAACTTTGTACACAACAGTTTAGGTGAATGGAAAGAAATCTCCTTGCATTTTTTGCCTCTACTGAGATTTAAATCCCGATCCTTAAGATTTTCCTTCCAACTTGACTAAATGCTAGATCATACCCTATGATTCAACTACAATATCTAGATTTGATAGGTCTAGATTCTAGAATGTGCAAAGGCTTAATTTTGGAAGTGTTCCTGGCATAATAAGTCAAGAAAGGATTTCATACTCATGTAGAATAGATGATGAGGTTGGTGCTAGATCATGTAAGGAACCGAAAACTCTCAATTAGAGGGGATTTTTACACCATTTGCCAGATTCATATCAACGAATGAACTATGCCTCAGATTATACAATAGTTGAGATTTGGTTGTATCATGTATGAATTCTCTATATTTATTCATCTGCTTGATTCAGGCATATCTAATTCCAATACTAAGTATTTAGTATTTAGAATAAAAGAGCTCCTCACAAAAACCAGATCTAATGTAAGTGTAACAATAGAATAAGTTCTATTCCCGATTAACTGATATATTAGATATACAGTACACATATCATTTTCTCTCATTGTGTGTTGCTCTTGGTTTTGCATTGATTCTGAGGAATTTTTAGGACTTTGAGACAATTTCTTTCACATGATTTTAGGTCTACCTCGTCCTTTTACCACCTTCAACCATCGTACTGGAACACAAATTGATCTATATATAAGGAGATCGATGTCGAACGAGGTAAAACATATAAGGCGACTAATTTTATCCTCCATATACGTTACACACAATTTTTATCAGATGTAATCATTTCTAATCTTGTCCATCTTGTATGAGTGCATATTCGCACATTTATACAACATTCATCTTGTGGATAGATTGGACCTTAAAGTCCCAAAAATTTGCTCCTATATATAACATAGTTGCATAACTGATTGTTGCCATAACCATTTTAAAGACTCTCTCTGATTCATATATTGAACAAAATCAGATTGAAAGGGAATAATGGTACAAACCTTCGGCAGCCACAGAACATGCCCTCTCCAGGCAAACAGCACAAGTATCAGAATCATCAGAAGAGGTTCCTGAAGACTGCAACCCACACTCTCTGCAAAAAGTATTCACAATGATCAGAACTTATATATGGTTGACATTTAGTTTTACAGTACCCTAATAGATTTACAATTATTTAAAAGCATAGATTAACAGCTCCCCCTCCTCCAAAACCCCGTGGCAGAAAAGAACGCCACACCTAAAATGTTTCCCAGCGAAGGAGAGACTGAGAGAAATCACAGAGAAGTATAAAACAAGTGCTCATTCTATCACTCATTTAATAGCCACTACAAGCAGTCAAATAAAAATCAGCCATGACCGGCTTTAAAGTTGAAACATTCCACTAGTGGAAGCAAGAACCAATTAGCAGTCCATCATAAGGCTCAATCGAAGAAAATTTCAATCTAATGTCCACAGGACTAATGGTTAAGGTGTTTTCTTAAGCTTCCAGAAGAAGCAATGTCTTATAGATCAAACTAGAACACAGGAAAGGGTAGGATAAGATGCAGCCTGAGATAACAATAAAGTTCTTCATCTCATATAGCAGCCTCACTGGTTATTTTCTTTTATCAACTCTAAATGGAATGGTAGGCAGTAACTGTCTAAAATTGATCATTAGACTGCCTAAAGATGACTTCAACTATGGGAAAACCAAAAGAGCAAGACAAACTGACAAAGTATAGTGAAATAAACAAAATAAAGCTTGAACAAATGGAAGTTGGATCAATCATAATTTTTCCGGCTTATGCCTTCGCAAGCTAAATGTGCATCATACAGATAGAATTCACAGAACAATATACATTGATTTCAAAAACTTTGAAGCCAGCAACGAGTAGAGTGACTGAACTGCTTGTTACAAATCTATACCGATACATGGAGTACCCTTTTGCAGTTACTAACGCACAATATCCATAGCAATAATTTCTACATCTTCAATTAGCAAAATCTCACTTTGTTTTGCTTCCCTAGCATATGTTACATTTGTCAAACAGATTTGCAGTAAGCCAGTAACCCATTTCTATTGCTATTTGCATCAAATAACTTAGGTATCATCAATGGCATCATTTATTTTGCTTTTCAAAAAGTAACTACCCAGCTTGGCTGCCATAAGAAACACTAGACAATCTAAAATGAAATATCACATGACAAAATCTCTCTATTAATTGAGACTTGATAATAAAAAAGTTACTATATCTCAGACAATATGGGACCAGGTTTAGGGTAGATATTGAACTTTGATCTTACACAAATTTGATGCACCAAAACAGATTTCAACCCAGAAATTAGGGCACTCAAAAAAATTTCAGATGACAAAGACCATTAGTTCAGAAATAAGCTTTTTTTTTTAAATACGTTAATAGTGGGCATTTCCCATGTTTGCTTACTTGGTAACTCAAAACAATACCTTATGTTTGGAAGTGGAGGGTCCTTACCACTATAGGCCATCCCTCCCTTATCACTTATCAGTCCAAAAACTAGATTACAAATGACTAAAAAAAGGAAGATAATTTCCATTTACCTTGCGATGTTAAGCACACTTAAGAGAGGCAATGATAAATAACTTGAAGATGGAAAAGGTGGAATTATCGAATCAGAATTTGGTGCAAGTAATGGTTCAAGCCAATGACGCCCCCACATCCTGGCAACATCGAGAGGAACCCACCTGAAAGAATCCATATATCTGTTCAGTGACGTCTAGAAATTCAAAGATGTAAGGTTAAACTGAGAAGCAAGTCCTAAATAGATTACCCATTGCAGTTCAATGTCAATCGATTGGCACCTCTTGCAATAAGGATCTGCAGAAACACAAAGCAAATACTCATTTAGAAACAAGCAACGGTAAAATATTGCATCAGAAAACAACCACATAAATACCAATAGGCATCGGAAGTAAAACATCTTTTACTTCTGGTAATCAAAATTATTTGATAGCAGCGCGAAGACGAGTTAACCAATCACCTGGCAGCATTTCAGATTTCCGCCACAGGCAGCATAGTGCAAAGGAGTGCTTCCAGCTCCTATAGAATGATTTGTTTGAAAATAATGTCAATTAACAATCAGGTAATTTCCAAAAACATCTAATTATGCCTCGACCGAGCATATACCTATCAGATCCATCGATGACCCATAGTGAAATGTCACAGCTGATACATTTGCATTGAGATCAAGCAGGAGCTGGACACAATCAAAATACCCATTCAATGCAGCCATATGAAGAGCAGTAATACCACCATCAGCAGCTTTATTTACAAATTTTGACAGTGCACTGCAATGAAATGATGCCAATACAGCGATTAGCCAAGTAAACCAGATACAACAGTCCAACTTTTCCAAGAAGAACTCAAAACCTCAAAGTCAAAGAACTTTGTGTCAGAATTCATGAGCATGGTGGTATATCAGCTCATTTTTCTCAACTAATTCTCTTATCATAACCTAAACATCTGTAAACACAGAACTAACAAATGAAGAACTCCCGAGGAATCTTCTTTTACAAGAGGCATATGTTGTACACTACCACCTCAGTCTTCTATGGTTGTCTTATACGATTTGCATTTAGCCCTTAATCAATGACATCACAGGTCAATCAATGATTTCATTTGGATAAATAAATTGTCCGTATTTATACAACTCAACATGAATCCAGATGACAAGAATGAAGATTAATATATCACCAACCTTTGCTCATGCTTGCTTTTTGAATTTGAACTGTCACCCCTGTCAGCATTTGTTTGAGAATTTATAGACTCAAAAGGGGCACTAGGAACGAAATCAGTCACCACTAGTCTTATGCATCTAACATGTCCATTCACTGCTGCAAAATGGAGAGCTGTTCTTCCACTAAGATAATCTGCCCTGGTAACCTGAAAAAAAAAAGTTTCAAGATCCAAAAGGGGCAAATGCTATTACTAGAATGACAAGACACAAGTCTGTGCAAGCTCTAGTAGCCAAATTAACAAGGTAAAAAAAAAAAATCGTGAGGCGAAACATCAAAGGGAAGCTCACATTGCATCTAAAGAGAAGAAGGGTTTGAACAACTTCCCAATGTCCATATCGACATGCCTGCATCAGTGCCGTCTTCAAACCAAAAAAAAAAAAAACTCAAACATCAGATTCAACAGAGAAATACCCAAATTTCAAAATCCCCCAAGATGTACTCCGATACTAAAATTGACAAAAATAACCCAACCCATGAAGCTGATCTCTCATTTCCTCACTACCCTTAGCTGAATATCAGCTCATTAGAACAATCTGAAGAGAAACTAAACAAGGACTAATCAACAAAAAGGGTTTTTTTTTTTAAAAAAAAAAAAAAACTTTTACCTGACCACAGTAGTTTCTAGAATTAACATCAGCACCATTCTCAAGCAACAATGCAACAATCTGAAAATTGTTCAACACAAATCAAGAACACTTTTATGATATGCGATTAAAAAGAACAAAAAAAGAAAAGGGTTAAATACCTCGTTGTGTCCCTTAGCGGCAGCAAAATGAAGAGGGGAATTAAGTCCACCAAAAGTAGAGTACTTTGAAAGACATGGATTGCAATCAAGCAACATCTTAGCTTCTACATAATCGCCGTCTCTCGCCGCCGATACCAACCGTTCGCCGGAGGCCGAACACCCAAAAGAATTACCCATTTTCTCTGACTACTCTCTAAAGAAAAATCAAAGCTGTGTCTCTCTCACTATATATACATGTCAAGTCAAGATTTGCAGAAAAATGGCAGTATCTGATGAAGCAAATTTGACTCAAACAGAGTATATGTCTTTTACAAGGATTTAGTAAATTAAAAATAAAACTTTTTTGGGGTTTGTGGGAAAAATTAGGTCAACTGTCGTTAAACAAAATTTGAAAAAAGAAAATGATATTATGTTATGGGAAGTGGATTACTCTCGAGTTTGAGTAATTTTTGCTTTATAATATATTTTTTAAAATTTGAATTCACACAAATAAATCTAGTAAAAGTCCTTGGTTGAATATTTTTTATACTCAAAACTCTAATAGAGATATCTAATTAATATTTGGATATAGTAATATTTCTGTAGATATAAATTGGATTCTTTTCTTTCTTTTTACTATTGCTTATTTAATTTCATTAGATGAAAAATAATTAATTAACTGCATTGTTTTTCTAATTATATTTAGAAAGAAGTATTGACAGCAATAAAAATACTTATCTAAACTTAAATACACTCATGATCTTATTATATGAGTGGAATACACTTTTAAATTCTTGTCAAGGTTAAAAGTGTTTTCAATACTTCTCTCGTCTTTTTATTAAGAGATACACGCTCCTACAAGAGTTTGAAATCACTTGTTATGACATGTAGAATATCGATGGTGTATTTTAGTTCAGTCGGTCAAATAGAAGAATGTTTTCAAGAAAATCAATGATTTAAAGACGAAATTAACAATTCATAATAAATTCAAGAGTGTTATCAATACTTGTCTCTTACATTTATATTTGATTTCTAAGAAATATTTGTATACTTTTACTAAAATTTTGGATCAAAGGATGACGGTGGATTGTTTGTAAAAACAGATAAAATAAAAGAAATTTGTGTTTCTTTTATTATGTTTTCTGGCATGAGGTAGTTGAGAAGAGAACGTCTAGTGGAATTTCCTTTTCTGGAGTAAATTGTAAGTTAGGAATTTGAAAAAATATATATAAATAAAAAAAAGTTAGAGGTGCATCAATTAAAGGAAAATAGGATAAAATAAGGACCAAAAACCCAAAAAAAATAATAATTTAAAATCTAAAAAAGTAAAAGTTTAGTTGGTTACTTGGAGAATAAAAAGTGGGGTTGCACTTGTAGCCAATGTCAAGGCAACTTTTACCACCACCTCTTTAATTTTATTTTTTGTGTTTGTCTTGGTCTTGCAAGTGGAGTAATTTTTTTATTTAGTTAATCTATTTTTTTATTGTGATAAATAAAGTTTCTTTTTATCTTCGAAAATTTGAGTCAGGTCTAATATTTGATCTTTGATAATTTGTGAGCTTTGAACTTCAAATTCAATTTTCTGCTAGGGCTTCTTTATTTCCCTTGATAATTAGAATCTGCAATCTCAACATTGAAGATGAAGGGTGTTTTATATTGAAGCAATTTTTTTATTTGATCCGATGGTGGAGTCACGTATATTTTAAAAGTATTAATCAATATTCTTTCGTCCGAAAATTACATTGTCTAGATAGGTATAAATTTTTTATGTATAAATATCGTACTAATTAACATGTCTAAGCTTTTTCTGTTGAAGGTTTTGGAAGAAATTGATTGTTACGTATTAAACTTGTTTCCTATGTTTTTATTTGTGAGTTTTTTTAAAAAACTTTTTGATCAATTAAATAAAAAAAAATTAAAATATTTTCTAAAAATTATTTTCATCATATCAAACCCACCCTAATTTCAAATTTATTGTGTGGAAAATTTCTACTGATATAACTTAAGTTATAAGCTACTTTTAAGCTTTCTTGTTGTACTTTAATAATATCCATTTCTAAGAAAATTAGAACCACAAATCTTTTAACTAATTTGCACGGTTTAGCTATCCAATAGAGTGGTTGGTGAATTAAGATCAAGTTGTAATTAAACACGTTTAGGACAATTTTTTGTAAGTTAATTATTATTATTATTATTATTAATAATAATAAAGAAAATATTAGTCCACTGCCTAGTTTTACCCACAACTCTACTTTTCATGTTTGCTTTCAAACAAGAAAGAAAAGACATATATATACACACTTTGGTAATTGGGTTCATGAGATGTCAAAATTGAAACGTACTCTTGCAATTTTAATTTATTTGTCTTATTTCTTTTTAAAAGAAATTAAAATATATTTCTTTTTTGATTAGATAATTTCTTAATTGTAAAAATTCACCTGATATGTTTAAGCCAATAAAATTTAAAAATATTTTAATATTATAATCTCAAAATGAATCACCCCACAATTTTATTTCAATCAAATATAAAATAAATTCATTTTTAAATTAATCTCAAAATTAATTATTCCTTATTCATCCTACCGAATCGGCCGTAAGTCATGAGTCATGACATATGGAATTGCCTAGAAGGCGTTATATGTTTGCATACGTATTGGTCTTTGAAATTATTTTGCGAAGCTTTTATATTGTATGATATTTTTAACTTTTATAGGTAATCCAAAATAAATAGTTTTATCCATAATAAAAACGTATTAATTTTTTTCTTTCAATTTATCCTTATTTAAATAAGTGAATTTTTATATAATCAAAAATATATTAAATAAGTACTAATTTAATGAAAACACCTCTTATTAGGGGTGTTAATGGGACAGTTTGAACAGTTATTTTTATAAAATTATAGTAACTCAATTTTTTTTGCGTATTTTATAAAGTATAACCAAAATTAGACTTTTAAAAATCATATTAGTTTCTCTTTGTTGTTCGTACGGTTCGATTAATCTTTATTTTTTTTACTTTTAAAATATCACCTCAAAATATATTGTTATTAAAATATTTATTTCGCAAATATATTAGTGAAGAAACACTTTAGTTCTTCACCAAGAAGTCAAGAATGTAAAATTTTATTGTCGTATTGTTTGATCTTAAACATTTAATAGGAGTGCTTGCATATATTTAGGTGTATTGTTTGATAGAGTATCTATTATAGTATCATTTAATTTTAAACCTAATTAATTAACGGTTAATTAAAAAACAAAGATTCAAAGTCTTCCAGTCACCACTCGCTAGATGCCTGAGACCTAAGTTATATTTATATTTGAAAAATGTTATAAAATATATACATATATTAAATTTAACATATTGTTAATATATACCTGTAAGGTTATTCGTTTTCTGTTCAGATTTTTTTCGTAAATTAAAAAGACCATCTCAATTGTTCAGGACGGTTATACACTTGCATAAAAGTTTATGATTTTATTGAAAAAATAACATAAATCGATTCGGTCAATCGGTTCGATCAATCTCTTATACTTCTTTTACACCCCTACTTCTGATATAATGAAACACCTTTTTTTTATTAAATTAAATTTTATTAATAGGTCAATTATTTCCAAAAAATATTAAAAATAAACAATATTTATGCTACTCCACTAAAAAAAAGTAACAGGAAATCCGCGAAAAGGAAGCGACAAAGGCTGAGGTTTATTGCCAATTATTACTTCCTTAATTTACATAAATCAAAAGACTCAATCATCACTCATAGCGGCAGGAGTTAAAAAATTAATTTAAAATGTGTTAATACTTTTCAATAGTGTTAAAAATGTGCAAAAATGTATATTATAATAGTAGCTAATATTTAACCTATATATACCACATAATTTTCAGCAAAGAGTGTGCATCGAACCACCCTTTGTCCCATATCACGAAAAATTATAATAGAGTGATAATTATTTTTCAATGCTCTTAGGTTCGAATCATAATCTATGAGTATGGAGTCGCCTTAAATAAAGAAATATTTTATAGGACTTTTCAAGATAAATTTGAAAGCTCAAAATAGATATTTGAATAGTGAAAACTGAGTCAGCCATTAGCCATAGGCTTGTAAATAGTCGAAAATGATTTTTTACAATATATTTTTTAAGAATAAACTTTAACGTTGTTATATGTTTGTTCCACCTGCTTATTTTGTATGAAACTGAAAGTAACTCTCCTTCATCCCTCGTGAAATCTTAGGCAACAGAAAGTAACTACAAAAAAATAAAAATAAAAATTTAGTACTTACCTTAGTAATACTAGTACGGTAGATGAGGATGATTATCAACCTCACAAGTTGCTTCATAGTATTCGTATTTTGAATATTTTCCCAAATATGAATGATATTAGGGAACCCTCCGTTTAAAGTTTGGCTCACTCGTGTCCTCGTCGTTCAACTTTTCAGCTAGATATGCCCTTATGAGCGTTAGTTGGTCTGCTGGACATATCCAGCTCATTTTTCATTTCTTTAAATATCACATGGAATTGCCATGTCATTTTGACCTTACCACATGACATTTTTATGAAAATGGAAAGGGATCAATTATGCCCCTAAAAAACTCGGACCCATAAATCAACCCCCCTTTAAAATAAACTATCCGACCGGTTTTCAATAATTTTGTTTAATTTTTATTTTTTTCGGTAAATCTCGAAAATAAGTAATTGATTAATAAAAAATAGGAAAAATATGAAAAAATATAAAATTAACGCTAAAAATTTACAAATAAATATAGTAACCTTACATTCAACAATTTCAATAATTTTTTTAAATTTTATTTTTTTCGATAAATCTCGAAAATGAGTAATTGATTAATAAAAAATATGAGAAGTATAAAAAAAATATAAAATTAACGCCAAAAATTCACAAATAAATATAGTAACCTTAAATTCAACAGATTCAACAATTTTTTAAATTTTTATTTTTTTCGGCAAATCCAGAAAATGAGTAATTTATTAATAAAAAAAAGGAAAAATATGAAAAATAATATATAAAATTTACGCCAAAAATTAACAAATAAATATAGTAACCTTAAATTCAACAATTTCAACGATTTTTTTAATTTTTATTTTTTTGGTAAATCCCGAAAATGAGTAATTGATTAATAAAAAATATGAAAAAAAATATAAAATTAACGCCAAAAATTCACAAATAAATATACTAACCTGAAATTCAACAATTTTTCTAATTTTATATTTTTTTCATATTTTTTCTATTTTTTATTAATCAATTACTCATTTTCGGGATTTACCAAAAAATAAAAATTTAAAAAAATTGTTGAAATTGTTGAATTTAAGGTTACTTTAT